TCTGCAGGGAGAGGGTTCTGTAGTCCCCGCACAGGTCCCTGTCTCTGCAGGGAGAGGGTTCTGTAGTCCCCGCACAGGTCCCTGTCTCTGCAGGGAGAGGGTTCTGTAGTCCCCGCACAGGTCCCTGTCTCTGCAGGGAGATCTCTGTAGTCCCCGCACAGGTCCCTGTCTCTGCAGGGAGAGGGTTCTGTAGTCCCCGCACAGGTGGTGCCCCTCTCCAGTCCCAGTGAAGTTAGTTGTGTCCGGTGTGCGGGGAGAGCCGAGTGAGGGGTTAAGCGGTGGTTGGATCCTCCTCCTCCGTCTCCGGGGTGTCAGTGTCTGTGTTGCTCCGCCAGCCTCCCCGGCCATGCCTGCCGCCTCCATGCAGCCGCCCTTCCCCTCGCTCTGCTCCCTCTTATTCTGGCTATTGTGTATAATCTCCGCGCAGCCGCCTCACTCTAATCAAGAAGATTAGAGATTCTTGCGCGTCCGGAAATCCCAATTCCCCCCCCCCCCCTCCCCCCCTCCTCCTGCCCCCCTCCTTCACCCCGGTACACCCCTCATCCATCTCACCTGCCTGCTAAAAGTCCCCCCTGGACCGTCCTCCTCCCCGGCCGGCCGGCCGCCGGCCCATTCCCCATTCTGTCCCTTCTCCGTTCTTCTGGCCGCCGCTGCCATTCCTCCCAGCCCGGCCGCTCTCCTCCTCCCCCTCTCATCATGTCTCTCCTCCTCCTCCTCCTCTGTCTCTCCCAGGACGTCGGCTGATCCGGGGCCGCCAGGGAAGGGCTTGGGGCTGCGGGAAGGGAGCGGTGGCCTGCCTGCTGTTATTTTGTATTAAAATGAGGAGGAGGAAGAAGAAGCAGCAGCAGCAGCACAGCACCGGAGGCATCCGCAGCAGCAGCATCCTTATTAACGAGAGCGCAGAGAACGGCGGCAGGAGCAGGAGGAGGAGGAGGAGTGATGAGTCAATACAACTAATAATTTAATGGGGACACACAAAACGCAGAGAGAGAGAGAGCGAGAGAGAGAGAGGCGGCTCTGGACAAACACAACAGACACACACACACTGTGCTGACACATCGGAGGAAACAACAAGACCAATACAACAAGACCGATACAACAACAAGACCAATACAACAAGACCGATACAACAAGACCGATACAACAACAAGACCGATACCAATACCACAACAAGACCGATACAACAACAACAGGACCAATACAACAACAAGTCATGGTGCCCATTGGTGAATAATGCATGAAGATCTGGAGGAGCCGGGAGCCTGATCCGAGCCACTCTCCGTCCCCATTCATCCCTGTGATTTGGCCCCCCGTTTGTTCCGCTCCCACCCCTCCCATCTACTTATACATGGAGACATCGCCGCTCCTCCACCTGTCAACTCTGTAAAAGTGGCAGCGCTGCTTCCTCTTCTCTTCCTCCTTTTTCTTTATTCCGGGAAGAAACTTTCTACAAAAAGAGGGGAGATGACAGCTGCTCTATGACATCTGCAGTCCTCTGATCCCCTCCCCCCATCATCGATCGCTTCCCCCCCCCCCCCTTTTATTTCTTCTTCCACTATGACTTGATTGCCAGCTTCCCGGACAAGACCTTCTCCAGCTGCTGTTTGCCTCCTTCAATGAAAGATTAATACACTTTTCTTCATCGTTCCTTCCTTGTGTTAGCCATGCTTTAATTCCACCTTATTGCTTATTATTTTTCTTATGACTTGACGTTTTTTTTTCCTGCCCTTCCCCCCTTCTCTGGGGGAGGCCATGAACACACAAACATAAAATCTAGAAAGGAGGATACAAATATTATTAAAAGTCAGCTGTAGATCTGCGAGGTGTCTGTGCCTCCATCAGGAAGCTGGCCGTCCCCAAACAATTTCTATGCTGTATCAAGTTGTGAAGTGGTGAGTGATCCTTTTCTTCTGATCTGATGCCTCTGGGGGGAGAGTCGCTTGTCCTCTGTGTGTGTGTGGCTGGAGTTGCTGTGTTGTGACACTGTAGCACTTTTGCTCCTTTGTCTCTTTAAAAGGTCAGAAGGAAATCCTGGTCGGGATCGCGGCAGTCCCAGGGATTGGCAGCCTCCAGCTCTGGCTGGGAACTTCCCTCTGCCTTCCTGGGTCTCTGGAGACTTGACAGTGTTTCTGCACTAATGTGCTCCGTGTGATTGTTGTTTTGACTTGCTAGAGGAACAGTAGGGTGTAAAGTTGTGCTTAGCCATCAGATGATGTTTACACATAACATGATATAGATTTTGTTCCATGAAGGTGCACCTATTGATCTGAGGAGTTTCTGTTTACTATGTGTATAGGTGTGCATGGATTGGGCTTAGTACACAGGCTACAATGCCAGGCTAAAGATCCTTATTTTCAAAAAAAGTGACAGTTATTTAAAGATGAGAAAAGTCATAAGGCTAAAGATAAAGATCTCAATGAAATAATGTATTTACATGATGTTGACAGTTTTGAATCACATTTGCAATGCACAATGTATTACTTTATAGTTGTGTGTGTGTGTATATATATATATATATATATATATATATATATATATATATATATATATATATATGGATAGATAGATAGATATACACACATTTTATTTGGGGGGTTATTTTTTATTCAGGACATGGTATAGCTAATAGTAGTTGGCCATATGTAACTGGACTTGTTTTGTAATATTAATGGGGTGTCAGGGACTTACTTCAAGGTGGTTGCAATAAAGTGACTGAAATAAACATGCCATGTTATTATAAATGTTGGGGTATATTCCTGACACCCATTAGAACTGAAGAAGCTGCTTAGATAAGTACAGAAAAAGTAACATTGCAGAACAAGTTTAGAAGTATGTTGCAAACTAATATACTGTATATGCTCTATAATAACTGGCACTGTCATAATGGGAATAATGTAAAAATATGTAAAGCGCTGAGCAAACTGTTGGCACTATATAAATCCTGTATAACAATAATAATATGTAAATGTTCTAAACTGCTGATCTAGATAAATTCTGATATATATATATTTTAACTTACATTTTTAACAAATAATACAAATATATATTATTAGCTTTATAATATATGCCATTATTATCTAAAGCATAATACACACTTCTTTTTATCTTTCTACAATTTGTTTGCAGACAGACTTGAAGGTGTGAAGTATTCTACTGTAGCCAATGTCTGTTTCCTCTTTCGATGACACACACATGGCCTGCCTGCTCATTCACAATATGATACAGCTGAGCCAGGGAGACAGCTCCTTGCTGACCCTGTGTCTGCAGCGAATGGGTTAAGGAGATTGAGGCTGTGCCTGACAGGGATAACTACAGATAATAGTCACCGCCTTGTGCTGTCATTGTGGGTACACTCTGCTCATCATTATTTGTAATTGAGATCTTGGTGAACTTTAGCCTTGGGCACAGTGTTTTAAATGGGGGGAAATTAGATGGTTTATGCACATTTGATTCTGATTTTGACACCAAATACATCGTGGGTAGTCCACAAATCAAGGAGTCCTCTAGGAGCATTGTCCTGGTCTCAGAAATAGCTTCTAATTGGAGGGAATGTAGTGTCTGACACCCAGACATCACTTACATCATGACTTGAGTACTCGCACTTTATCACTCCAGAACTACTGCAGTCTTACCTCTTATACCAAGATAGATGTAGATTTTAATGTTTGCTGTGTTCAGAGGTAGGGCATGCAATGTTCAAGAGTGCAAGCCTGATTTATTTGAACCTAAGACCTTTTCTAAAATAAGTGTAATTAATAGACTTAAATTAAGCTTTTTATTTAAGTAAGGTCTATAATTCATAGGGGAAAGGTTACATCTTAAACTTTATCTTCTCATTATGCCTGACTTCCAGAGAAAGAATAAAAACATTATTTTAGCAATATTACATTTTCTACACAGTATTTTATCCTTGTGCATTTGCCTAGTTCAGGTTTCCTAATACATGAGTTGAGAAGTCATACTAGTTTTGTGATATGCATTTGAAAATTGTAGCGATTAGACTTCCTACAGCAAAGTTTTTGATGACGTACCTAATAGCTGTGTCCATTGTAAATGGAAAATAGTGCCTTAAATAATTATTTGAATAAATACTTTAAATATTGTCAGAAATGTGCTAAGTAGCAAGTTATTAAACGTGAAGATGGCACGGTCTGTTACATGGCATGAGACCGGAATCTTAAAAAATGCAGCAAAAGTTTAAAGGACCTTTGGAAACTCTGTAAGAACTGTTGCAGCAGCAGTATACATGTGCAGTGTAACATTAAAAATGTTTCCTTAGAATCAGTTATTAGACATATATATATTGATTAAGAAGTGATATTGAGTAATACACATTTTCTCTATCTTTCATGCAAGGCTCATGTGACATCAATTCATGTAACATTTTCACATGAAGCTAGACCAAATATGTCAGCTTTTTAGTTCATTCATTTTTACTTTAGTTACCCAAAAATAGCTGTTTACTTTTCATGCTCTTTGAAGCGTTTAGTTCATTCATTCTTTGCTATTGTAAACACAGGTGAATGCAGGTATTGAAAGAATCTGAAATCTTACACACAAAAATATTAAATTAGTTACAGAAGTCTGTCTTACTTAATCAGGGAAATGGTTTCTACAAGTGTAATTTTTCTGGGGTGGCAGAAGATCCCGTAATTAAATTGTTGCTTAAGGTGTGGTAAGCAGATTCCTGAATCAAAGCAGTGTCAATAGATATGAGGAGTAGACTTTCTAAACATAAATCAACATGTACAAGCTTTGCAGGTGTTCATTATTTGTAGTCAATTAAAAAAATGGGCTGGCTCCTCTTATGAGATGTGTGCTCCAACTAAATTGTCCAAGCAATTTAATTTTTATGTCTATATATGTGTTTGTATTTTGTACACTAGTAAAATTGGTCACCATTTGCATTTTTTCTGTGCTACAAAAGATGAGCGTGCCTCATAGATTTATAAACACTTTTTTTTAATTGAGCCAGGTGATCCTTAGAGGCGGGACTGAGCATGGATCATTCGAACGAGAAAACTCAGGGGATAGAACATTCAGAAATGTCTAACAATGTAAGCGATCCAAAAGGTCCGCCAGCCAAAATAGCCCGCCTTGAGCAGAATGGAAGTCCTCTAGGAAGAGGAAGAGTTGGAAGTACAGGAGGAAAAATGCAAGGGGTGCCTCTTAGACATTCCGCTCATATGATGAGGACCAGTATCCGAAAAGGTAATATTCCGAAGTCAAGCTCACTTCCTAGGTAAATGCAAGATAGCAGCTGCATTTCAGTACTTTAGTGACAGAAAAGGTTCATCATTTGTTATTTTTCAGTGATTTTTAAATATATATATATATATATATATATATATATATATATATATATAAATCTCTTATGATTAATATTTATGTTAGTCAGTAGTATAATACTGATAGTCCTGTACATCTTTAGCAAAAAAAAAAGAAAAAAATTTTTAGGGTTCACTTTTACACATTCGCTTGCTCTCTCTCTCTATCGCTCTTTTTCTCTCTCTCTCTCTCGCTCTCTCTTTCTCTCTATACAGATATATATATGCATCATTTTTTTAAAGCTTGATCTGCCATCCTCTAGTTGGACAACAACTGTGGAACGCAGAAGAACAACTTAGACACAGTTGAAAACTTCAACCCATATGATATGGAAACCTAAAGAATGAGCTTATTATAGTTGCTTCCTTCAGGTTTGGAATTCTCTGAGTATTATTTGGAGACAACTGATAATTTCAGCTACATAGTTGAAGGCATTGGAATTTCATTGTCTTCAATGTGTAACATTTATCATACAATCCTTCATTTTGCATTCCGTTTGGCGAAAACAAAGCATATATTGATCTTAAAATGAACAGACACAGCAGTTGGTATTGTTAGATCTCTATCTATTAAAATGGAAAAAGAGCACTTCAGCAAATTCTTTGGCCTCAGTTCATGATTACCCTATTTATTGATTGTTTGCCAAGAATGTATGCATCTTAAGAAAGCCAGGGCAGAACAAGCATTAAAAATATAATTTATTATGGCTTTTCAAAGCAAGTGCATTAATATTGTACTGAGGAGCTAGAGCAAGGCTTTATAAAGGGACTTTCTGACGCCTGCAAACATATAAGTTCTATAAATTCCTAAATAGGAGATTTCAGCTGCCTCTGTTAGTATGTGATATTTGCACAGCAAAGTTTAATGCCAGGACAGTTTTAGACAAGGATTCTACAGACTCACTGCTCCTTATGCAGACTTGTTGTTTACATAGGCTCATAAATGTTCAGCAAAAGCTCTAGCAGTGCCTTCAGGTTGGAATCATCTTATATTTTTAGCACTGACCAAAGCTTTCCTCTTTTTTAATGCTGGGCAGTTATAAAGTTGCTGGGCCAAGCATTCAGTCAGATGGGAGCAGTTAATGCGAGAATACTGCTCTTTAATGCTGATGACTTGAGGAAGGACAGCACGTCACTCTGTGCTAAAAACATGTATTTGCATTGAATTAAAGATCTATGTGTGTAGCTTGATTTCTTTTTTTATTGTCCCTTTACTTTTCATGAATTTTAGCAATGACTGCTTCAGATAATACATTGTTTATAAACAAGGCTTCTTATTATTAAAATGAGTTGATCGAAAGTCCATCTAAGAAGTAAGGTGCTTTTAATTGCGTAGAGATATAACCTCTAAATTTCTTTTTAAAAAGACCCAAGCAGTGTCTCATGTAGCATGTTTCAGGCTCAGGGAGTTCTATTCTCCGAATTGATTGTGATCTTTTCTGGCACAGAGGAAGGGAGCAAATGAGAGACTTGCGTAAGGTCACAAGGAGAGTTCACATAATGAATTGAGCGCTCCCCTCACCCACTTCAAAGACAGAGGAGTCCCTACTTAGCTACTCCTTCAGAAGAGAATAGCTACAGTCCCCTACATGTTGAGAGAACAGTTCCAGATCTTAACCAATTGAATACCAATGTCGACTTACTGAGAATGGATTTGGATGAGTGATTTTCATTTGATTAATAGCAATAAACAGTTTGTGCAATATATCGCCAGGGTTGGTTTCCAGCAAAAAGTAATGTTATTATTTATTATATCTTTGACATTTTGAAAATTGTAATCCTTTAACATAACTTAGTGTGTGATATTGTATGATATTGTTAGTTTTCCAGTGATGCACTTGTGATCAAATGTTTAAGTATGTTTTGCAGCGTGCACATTCCTTCCCTCTCCCTAGTTTGTTGTATAAACATAAAACTTCATTCACATGGTGGTGTGCTTACAATGTGTTTTTCAGAATATGTTATGATATCTTAGTCCACCACGGAGGACAGAAGATACTTTTTTTTAAAATTAGAAAAATAGACAACACATTTTCCTAAAATGACCACTGTAGTGCAGTGTATACATCGTTGCTAAACTGTTGTCAGGAAATTAAAGAATGTGTTTCAATTCTTTTTAACGGGATCACTTTTCTACCTTTTATATTGAATTACATTCAGTGGGCTGCTGTGGCAGTAATTAGTAAAGTACCCATTTTTTATTTATTGTATTGTTAATGAGATTTTATGTTGTGCCTAGTCTGAAGTTTTCAAATGGTATGCCCTAGCATTCCATTGAATAAATGAATTTAACTTTAAGTCTTCAGCTAAAACACTCTTATTGCATATTTGTTGTATAGCAATTTCATATATGTCAATTCTTTTGAGTGTTGTGTTTTTTATGTATTAACTGTAACTGTTGTTAGTGATGTTTATTTTATTTTTTCTGTTTTCATGCCTGTAGGAAATATGCTTCCAGTTTTTTGCGTGGTGGAACATTATGAAAATTTCATTGAATATGACTGCAAAGAGGAGCATGCAGAGTTTGTATTGGTTAGGAAGGACATGCTTTTTAACCAGTTGATTGAAATGGCTCTACTGTCCCTTGGATATTCTCACAGTGCAGCTGCCCAAGCCAAAGGTAAATAATCAATTCAAAGAATGTGAGGGGGGGAATGTGTTGCACTGTTACTCAAAACATTTTTTTATTTTATATTCACATATGATTACTATTATTATTTGTACTATAATATTTTTGCAGTTAAATAGTAAATAACACAGCTAGTTTTAAGGGATTTCAGATGTTAGCACTGAATCATTAGCATGACTATTGACCTTAATAATATGGTCCACTGAGAATCTAGGGAGAAATGCTGAGCATATCTGAGCAGATGGAATGCTGAAAGTCAATTTGCATTTATGACTGAATACCTAGATGTGTTTCCTTTTTCAGTTTTCACATTTTTGTTATTATTTAAGCAGCGTAATTTGCTACTGACTCTTTCTTAAATATTTAGGTGTGAAACTGTTGAGGCTCAGTTTCTCTGAATTTGTTAGGCAGAGATGCTGGTATTCTGGTGCTTGTTAATTTATGCAAGTCAAGATGTATATTTCTCATCAATTATTATTGGAGATATTGTGATATTTATCTAGCTCCTCATAGTCTGTGAAATACAATAGATTATTTCTAAAGTTGTTTATTTGTATTTTGGATGTTGTTTATTTTTTTATCATTATGATAGTGTTAATTTTGAAAGTGATACACTTTATCTTTATGATGCAGGGCTGATCCAAGTTGGTAAATGGAATCCAGTTCCACTTTCCTGTGTTACAGATGCTCCTGATGCCACTGTAGCAGATATGCTACAAGATGTGTTTCATGTGGTCACACTGAAAATACAACTACATAGGTGAGTCATGATGTGTAGACTGCTTAGTTCCTTATCAGCTGCAGATGTCTTTCATTTCCTTATTGTTTTCTTTTTTTTTAATATGCCATGTGCTAATATACTTTCCTGGCCTCAAAAGTTTATAAAGAGACTGAAGTATTACTTACACATGTGTCTGACATACATTTTGTTTTACTCCTTTTTTCCTTGTTGTGTGTATGTGTGTGTGTATGTTGTATTGTTTTTTTTTTTTGTTACACACGCTGTATATGCTGAATTATATTTAGCCAATTAATTCAATATATGCATTACAAATGGGTATTTTACATAAAATGTACTTAACAGAAAATATTTTTGCATATCCTGCACAAAGCCATCTGGGTACATTCTGTGAAAGAATGACTTCACCCTTCTTAATGTAATCTGGTATGTGACATTTTTTTTTGTTGTTTTTCTTCAGCCACAATTATAAAAAAAAAAAACAAAAAAAAAAAAAACTGATCTTAAGCCTGTTTCTCCTGATCAGTTGTGAGAAGGCATTGCACCTTAAATTGTTTCACCAAGCGCATCAGAGCAGGAAGGTAGAAGTAACATGCAAAAATAGTCGCCACATGCAGCTGATGTATAATTCATGCATCAATACAGCAGATGTGTTGTATAAAGTAATTAACTAATCGGAACAATCAGGAGACCGAGAGCAATCTCCAGATGCATCTGCTTGATGCGCAAAATGAAATCTGTCTGTCTTAAAGGAATGTTCTGCAGTAGGATGCAATCTTGTAATAATCCCTTCTCTAATCTGTCTCTAATAGTTGTCCCAAACTTGAAGACTTGCCTCCTGAGCAGTGGTCCCACATAACAGTACGTAACGCTCTGAAGGACCTGCTGAAAGATATGAATCAGAGTTCACTGGCTAAGGAATGTCCTCTGTCCCAGGTATCAGCCTTAAATAGTATTGAAAAACAATACTGCTATGCTGTCAAGCGTCCAATAACTGGCATGACCTCGATAATTGTATTGTGCTTGTTGCCACCTCTAGGAATTGTTCTTAGCAGTGTACAGCGACTTCTAACACATGATCACATCTCATGCTGGAATGCACCTGCCATTCCCCTCCAGCATTGTGATGTAATTGCCACAGCACACTTTAGGATTTCACGTCCACGATAGTAGGAAAATGTCTTGTACAAAGCCTACACCCAAACAATGAATTATGCATGCAGTCTTAAAAAAAAGGTGAGAAAAAGATTCCTCATGGGACTTAGAATAATTACAAGCAACACAATTAGAATCCTGTCATATAATCTAATTAAAATATTCTGGTAATACAATTAAACCATTGAAATCTGTTTTTTTTAACTACTGATCTGGTAGGACTTTGCGCTGATTTTCGGGCTTTATTTGCCCTGATGTCTGTTTTGCCAAAGTGAACTAGCTTGATTTCCTAATTTTCTTGTATACTAGTACATTTTAAATTCCCTTTTTGTTGTGTATTTTGACTGTGCACCTGAGTAGTCTTTATTTAATGTCTTATAAAAAACGTATTCTATTAGCTTTCCTTCATTAAAGAAAAAAGTAAATTTAAACTGATGGAAGATTTAAAGGGCAAGTCTTTGATACCTTTTAGGTTTCATTCTGAGGCTTTTTTTATTATGTTAGTGTTTTGACAAATTCAAAAGTGTGCTGATATAAGCTGTGCTGTGACCTACAGAGAAATGGATAGTGCTCAGCAACATACATTATGCTCTATTCATCTACACAGTCTTCCCTGTAGAGCTTGTATATTTTCTATTGTATAGTAACTGTGTGTTATCATAGTGTCTTTGCACTAGTTGATAATACATGTTTCAGAAGAGCTACAGTACAATGCCTTTTCATTTATCTTTTCACTGAGATTGGCACATTAGTATTACTATTCAGAGCATATAAAAATTATAGGTGATTCATGCTTGCTTATATTATAGTACAGTTGGGGAAATATATATGTTTTCGTTTTTTTTAAATAATGGTAACAGTTTACTGTTCACTTTACATATAGAAGCTGTCCACTTTTTTGCAACTTTGTGTATTAATACAAAAATGTGTTGCAGGTATTTGAATTGTTGTCTAGTTGCTGCTGTGCACAATATTTGTTTCTGTTCCTCCTGTCTTATGGCTCCCATTCAATGATTTCTGGCCTGGAAATAATCAAAATTCTATTCATTGGTTGCGAGCCATGCCATCTATGCGTTTATACAACTGCCACATTTGTAACTACTGCAAGAAAACAGTGGGCGTTTGCTGCAGCGACTCATGGAACCCACAGATAGGATTCGTTCCATTTTTTTCCCTTCTAGTAACACAACAAAGTATATTCAAACGGAAACCTTTTTGAATAGTAAGACTGCTCCTTACCTGATTATCTTGCAGGTAAGGTGAATTTGCTCCCACTTTTATGGAAAGAGAGAGACTATTATTTTTAATTTTTTATTACTCTGGTGGATTGAACTGGATTTCTAATGGGGTATGCAAATTATTTGACTCTTTTATTTAGTCTTTGAATATGCTTTCATTAATATTTTCATCATTAAAGCACTCTTTTGATCATAATTTGTAGGTAAATGATTTAACTAGCTGAATGGCCTTTTTTTCGTGGAATGGATTTCACATTTATCAGACATTCATTTTAAAAGCATATGAGGTGTTCTTCACTTAGGGAAAACTGGCAAAGCCAACCACCCATATTTACAAAAGCTAGGGAAATTTGCCCTGCAGACAATGAATTTGAGTCTAAGCCAGAAAATGCGTATTTGCCCACGATGTTTGTAATTTTTGTGTTTTTGTTTAAACTGATTTAAAGGTGGTTCAAACCGTGCTTCACTTTCCATGCATATTCACCTAAGTTCACTCTCTACATTTTTATATCTTTTTTTTGGTATGAAAATGTAACTGCAAATACTGATTATACGTGTAAAATGTAGTTTTTAGGTTAATTAAAATACTTTTTTTTTTTTTTTTTTTACTTTTTGTTATTAAAGATGCAAACATATCAACTAAGGATCTAAAGATATTCATAACAGCCATAGGACTTATGTACTAACCGTATGCCAGTAATCTAAGATGTAACAAACAAAAAATTTCTGTAATAGCAGATGCCAAATAACAGAAATGTGATAAATACACATGGTCTTCTCTTTGACAAGACATTGCTGAATCTCATTTGTGCTATAATTACATTGCTTGCTATTAGGTCCATAGTTGTCCAGCAGTTTAGCATCACATATTCTTGCACAGTAGGTAAGCAGCAGTGAAGCTTTATGTCTGCTGCTTTACCTAGTTGGTATAATCCTATAGTAGTCTATATGTTCACTTGACAATACATTAGTATCCGATTTCTTTTTAAATGGAATGCTTAATGGAAGGAAAATTACAGCTTTTTCTATAGGACAGCTTCCAAGTGGAACAGTGGAATCTTGCTTATAGGCCACAGCACCAGCAAGTAAGTTCAGCACGAACTTTCCACTGTTTCATCTTGAAATTGCAAATGACAAATGGTCTTTCTATTTATGTATCAGTAGTCTCTTTTGTAATATTGTAGTGTGCACCATTTTAAAAAGACATTACCGATTTTTAATTTTGCTTGCAATATATTTTGTTATATAATAAAAACCCAGCTTATAAAATATGCAAAATGTATTATCTATTTGTAGTGCCATGTACAGATTCTATTGTTTTTTTTTTTAACTAGTTGTAGCCATGAAAAAAAAAGTTTGCTCATGAGTCAGTTAAAATGTTCTCTTCTACTTGCTAGACCTCATTTTATAACATTAATTAAAATAATGTTTGCTTTGGTATTTTACAATTATAGTCTACTCCTCTTCATCGGTAGTATAATTAATGCTGTTGGTTATTTATGTTTGTCAGAGTGAATGTATGTTTAGGTTCAGTTTAGTGAACAGAGCAATTTTCACCTGTGATTTAGCCTTGCAGGGTTGTACTGTATATTTGTGTTGTATTGCCTACAGTGTAGATAAAAACCCACTTACCTACAGCCAGAAATGCAACATGATGATATATTGTAATATCCTTTACTGTCATCCATCATAAAGTGCTGGACAGAAGCAATTTAGTTTTTGCCACAGGAATAGGAAAAGGTTTTGGGGCTTCCAGTCTAATGTCATGGCGTTGGACAGGGGCTAAGCTGACACAATTAGTAAGTAGCCATCACTCCCATTAATTGGTTAGCCAGGCAAAGTCCACTATCAGTTCAGAGAATTGGGTTATCATCTTCTGTTGAATTGTAAGACCTGTGGCAGTTAACATGATATCAGAATTTGGGACACCAAAGTCCAGTCTGTGATAGACTTTTGTCCGATTTGAACTTAGTATGTATGGTCCTTATTTTATAACGATTTCTATGTTCTAAACAGTTTTAAATATATCTAAGCCATCTTTCCATTATACTAGATGTGCAATACTTTTAAATATTTAGGAAAGCCAAACATGCCTACAATTATCCAGCAAGACAAGAGCTAATCTCACCACATAACAGCATTTAATAAAAATCATACTCTAAAAAAATATTGAACACTCACATGTTGATAGTGCACTTTGCACTATGTTTAAGAGCAATCTGTTATTCTACCAGTTCACAGTGCTAGCTGAAAACTTCCTTTCTGACACAGATGTTTGATGTGTGATGACTTGCTACTTTAGGTCCCACCCAATGAGTTTCACCAGTGGACTTTGTCAGGGGTCCTTAGAAAGTCCATTCATGAAGCACGTTAGGCAGAACCTACAAGACATGTCATCACGTTTCAAGCGTCTGTGCCAGGAATGAAGTTTGCAACTAGTGCTGTAAGGCAGGGGGAGTATTAGATTTTAGTACTGCTTTGTGCACTGCTTAGTGCTGCTTAGTGCACTATGCACATGCTAGTGTTTTATATTTTTTAAAGTAGAAGTTCTAACAAAAGGAATTATGCAATGAGATTATCTGGTTAATTAGTTACATGGCATAGATGACTGCTGTGTGATAACGTGTTCCTATATATCCTCCCATCCAAAGCGGTTCTTCTGTGGATGTTATGAGGACCTTTTGAGAAAGTCCATCGACGTAATGCATTGGGAAGGACCCATAGGACACATTATTGGGTGTCTGTGCTGAGAAAGGAGTTTGCAGCTATTGTTGTGAACTGGTGGAATATTAGACTCCCCTATATAAGTACTGCTTTGTGTGAATTGTATTTGTGTATTATTTTACAATACAATTTTTCTGGTTCAATATTTTTATTAAAACATATAACATAACTGATCGCCCACACAGGGGTATAATTCAAAAAGAAAACAGCTAACAAACCAGGTGATGGCTACATCAAGTTATTTTATAATAAAATTATTTACAGTGCAGTCGTACAACTTAAGCCGCAGGACAGCTTTAATGGCCCAGGATCTAGTCCTGAGGGTTCAAGACATAAGTATGAAAAACTACAGAAATAATGCTTATGTTGTAATTAAAAGTAAAGCAAGATAGAGAAAGACAGATGAAGAAAGAGGCAGAAAGAAGGGGACTGGAAGAGGAAGAGTAAGGAGAGGAGGATGGCGGAAGTTCCTGCAAGCCTGGGTAGAAATTCAGGAAATACCCAAACCAAATGGGGATATGGTATGGAAAAGCATAGCTCCACAATTTACAATACAGTTTTTAATATTCTGAGTTATTCAGTGAGATAATCCCTCTTCTTTTTTAATGACACTTTAGAATAGATCCAATGTCAGTAGCAGAAAGAGGGTTATATAATTTTAAAACTTATCTTGGTGGATAATTTTAAACATTTTTACATTCAATATATTTCATTTTGTAAAGTTACAATTGCAATCTCACAATAGGGTGAAAATCAGAAATAACAAAATACAGTGTAATCACCTTAATACTAGAAGCACGTCTCAAAATCAGTTCTTAG